TGCCCATTATTTCTTGTTATTTAGTCTCTATTTTCAACCGTCTTTAACCATAAAGATTGAAATTTGCCATGATCTGGGTTCTGTTTTCCTCAGTTTGATTATAAAAAAAGTTCACTAAAATAGTTGTTTCTGAGAACAAGGCCACATGAAAAGATGTTTTAACTCACAATAAAAAAAAAAATCTCGGCAATTTAGTTCTGAAGCACCAGAGCCTCTGAAAGTCACCCTGTCTGTGCATGTACTCAGCCTAAGTTTATTAGACACAAATATCTGAAAATTGTGCATACTCTACCTCCACAGAGTTCACTGAGCATGCTCCAGCCCAGGGGTGGAGCGGGACTTCCCTTGCAATTGCCTCCAGCCTCTCCTTTACCAGTGGGACCCCAGAACAAAGCATGCAAATCTCTCCAGGTTATTACAACATGGGATCAATTTGTAGGTTTCCTTTTGTTTACCAGCCTGGATTAAAATCAATAGGATACTAATAACAGGTGTCCCAACTTAAGCTGGAGGGAAAGTGTCAAATTTGCATATGAAGGTCAATTCCACACACACACTCTTTAGTTGGCTTGTGAAATCCTTTTGCAGAAGAATGGGAACTTCTATATCCATTAATGAGTACCCAAAGAGGTAAAAAGTTCCCCTACAGGTTTATGTGCATTATCATTTCTGATATCTGACATGTCTATTTATCCTTTTTTGGTCAATATACATGCATTGCTGGCACATACCACTTTAGAGGATGTGCAGTTATATCAGACTCTGATGTTGTGGCTTATGTGCTTATGGCCTGTGATGGTGTCGCTTGTATAGATGTGTGGACAGAGTGGGCAATGGGGTTTATTGCAAGGGTAGGTTCCTAGATGAATCTGTCTGAGGTGTGATGTGTGGCTGCTAGAAAGAATTTGTTTCAGGTTAGAGGGTTATCTATAAGTAAGGATTAGCCTGTCTCCCAAGGCCTATGAGAGTGAGGGATCATTTTCTAGGACAGGTTGCAGATTGTCAATGATACGCTGAAGGGATTTAAGCTGGGGGTTATAGGTGGTGTTCTGTTATTTTCCTTGTTGGGCCTTTTTTATATTATTTAGATGTAACACTCTGAATACCATTCCCAGGCCTGAGGACTTAAATCTTGCCTAACAGTAGTCTGATAAAAGATATTATCTCACCCCCTTATCGCTCTGAATGTGATCAATGAATTAGGAGTACATAAAAACTAGCTGACAGGCTTTATACAATTAAGGCACAGGTCCCTAACGCTCCAGAGTATATAAAGCATTGATCAGCTTGTAGAAACTGTTAGTTCACCAAAATGGAGCCCAGGCACTTAACCAATCTCAATAGGCCTTTATTGTGAGTATATTAGAATGCAATCAACATTATTGCTATTATAAAACAAACCATAAAAGAAAATACCTTGCTTCTCTCACGGAAGAAGTTAAGCAGTTCAGGGCTGCCTCTCTCACACTTTTCAGTGACAATGCATTGAGAGGCATTAACTGAATGGAGACAGTTGTGAGCAAGTCTAAAAAAGACTGAATAGCTGTTTAAAGCAAATTTAAGTGATCAGACTAGATTTTAGTTAATCAACCAGTCCCTAGAAAAATGCTAACTCATCTATTGCTGACAGCATCCCAAACACAGATACACACTGTCTTAATTAGATGGCATGTTTGGAAGTTCATTATATTCATGTTTTCTGCAATATTTCACATTTTTCCAGTAGTATGAGTTGCCCATGCTGGTGCAGAATGTCTCCGACAGACACTCTTTTATTTATTCTAGTGTATTTTCACCATTGTCAAGTGCTCCATACCTGTTCTCCAAATACAACAAAATACACACAGTGTACATAATGCTTATTGCTAATGACAGATCCCTTCCTCTAATCCTTGGTACACCACATGGCATAACAAATTTTAAAATATACATGAAAGCACTGCAACAAAAATCACCCTTGTTAAAAACTAAATCCATTACACAGTGACTCAATACAAAAGAAAAAAGTATAGTAAAATACATGATCAATGGTCAACTCCAAAATAAGAATTAAAAAAAAAACCTGTTGACTTTAACAAGTGCTTTCTAAAAGTAGGGAGCATGTCCTGAAAGATTTCACAAGGCATACAGTGGGAGAGTGGCAGAAAAGAGGTTCCATGACTGGGATTATTTTTAGTAAAGTGACATTTAGGTCACAGGTTTCTGTCCATTTTTATTGCCTGTGACCTATCGTGGCTTTTATTAAAACCAAACATAACAAAATCACCACCTTATCCATCACATGAAAAGAAGTTGACAATGGAATGCTGGGGTGAAGAATGCAACCTTGGATGCAACCATTTAGTCAAAAGACCACAGCAAAGGTACATTGTGGTGTGAGGGTAGGATCGCCACACCCATCAGGACCTGCAATAAAGTTAATTCTGCCCATTATTTCTTGTTATTTAGTCTCTATTTTCAACCGTCTTTAACCATAAAGATTGAAATTTGCCATGATCTGGGTTCTGTTTTCCTCAGTTTGATTATAAAAAAAGTTCACTAAAATAGTTGTTTCTGAGAACAAGGCCACATGAAAAGATGTTTTAACTCACAATAAAAAAAAAAATCTCGGCAATTTAGTTCTGAAGCACCAGAGCCTCTGAAAGTCACCCTGTCTGTGCATGTACTCAGCCTAAGTTTATTAGACACAAATATCTGAAAATTGTGCATACTCTACCTCCACAGAGTTCACTGAGCATGCTCCAGCCCAGGGGTGGAGCGGGACTTCCCTTGCAATTGCCTCCAGCCTCTCCTTTACCAGTGGGACCCCAGAACAAAGCATGGAAACCTCTCCAGTATTTTTAAATAGCTTCCTAGGTAACACCCAGGCAGCAGGTGATGACAGACTAAACTGGACTGTAGAGGCTGAGGAGCAGAAGAGTTGCAGGGGCAAGCGGAGGGGAAACAGGTGTAAGCTAGAGGACAGACAGGAGCAACAGATGGCAGGAATAAGCTGAAGCACAAACAAGGCAACAAGTGGACATGTTAGCTGGGAAGTGGGTGGAAATGGCAAAGCGTCTATCCACTTGAGAATGCTCCCCTTTAAAATGTAAAGAAGAACACAGGGACCTTGAGTCCCAACATTCGTGATCTAGCAAATACCCTTGCAACCCACTGGCAGCTTCCTTAGTGGACCAGCCAGAGAGGATAAGAGCCAACTACTATTACTAGTTACTCCATCAGCTCAGATAGCAGAAGTTTGTTGTAGAGGTAAAGGTTCTCCAACACACCTAAGTAGTGCACATGTGAGAGGTTCCAACACTGCTGAGCAGCCATGATTGTCACAGGATGGCTCCACATGACAGATATCCTTGTTTTTTTTTAATTTCATTTGCTTTTTAACTAAAAAATTTAAAGTAAAAAAAAAACCCATTAAAAGAACACTCCAAAGACAAACACCCTGAAGTTAGGAAATGCCAGAATTAAGCTTGCGCAACCTTAATTTGTCCCCTTTGTGCATATATGCATTGTGATATAGAATTTAGTTATAACATCACATACTATTTTTCCATAGCACCTCTACGAGATTCAGTGCACAGTATAGATGAGGGGGGTAGCCATGTTGGTCAGTAACTTTAAAAATGAGCAGTCCTGTGGCACTTTGTCATGAGCTTTCATGGGCAAAACCCACTTTTTCAGATGAGATGAGTGCAGATGGTGCTTTAGGAACAAATCAGAACTGTGTAGTGAATAAGGCTGTTGTTTGTAAGATGCCTGCCTTGTTTATTGAAGAAGCTGAAAGGCGTATGGTGAATGAGGCAAAAGAGGGCAGACGAGAAAGTCTTATGATTAAGACAATTGAATGATATTCTGAGAAATGGAATCTATCCCAGCTTTTGCTTATTTAAATCTGAAACCATATGGTACTATTTTAAATATACCATATATTTCATACAAAAAACTACTGTAAAAGTGTAGCCCTTGGCTACACTAGTGATAACCTCCTAGCATCTGTATATGAGACCACCTCCATGCCCTCAGCTCATACAACATATACCTTTTAGGGATAATAGTCTCACAACTCACTGTAACTTTGCTGTGATGGGCCCAAAGCATGGAACCTCCAACCCACAACTTGAAATCTCAGTCCATCTCTCCCTTCATTACATTTACAATTATATGGTATCACACACATGCATACACACATTTTATCACACAGCACCAGTATGTACTGTGTATATTATGTAAATACCATATACTTTATTTCAAACTGTATATGAAGATTTACATTACACAGTACACACAGTACCACATTTAAGGATATGCAACAAGTGAATAATAGATAACAGTATCTTTGCATATCCAAAGAGTAAGTAGATCACTTTCAACAGCTGTTAATAGTGTGAAATATATCTTAAGTAGTCATTTAAGCATCAAATTATACTGTATAAAACATCAGGGTATTTAAACATAGTAGTGGTTGTCATAAAAAAGTCAACATTCCTTAACAGATTCCTCAGTTACTATATTTCCTCTTTACTTTATGATGGAGGTGCTAATCCCTGCTATATAAATTAAGCTTGAGCTGAGTTTTGCAATTAATACAGAGCTGTAGTATCTCCAATACAAGGGTATGGTAACTGCTGTTGAAGAGACCTTTTAAATAGCTATCATTCTATCACTGATGTTGACACATTTGCTTTAGAGTTAAAATATTAATAGCATTAACTTACTTTAGACATGACAGATCAGAGACTTGAGTGTAGCCATTTTTCAATAAGCACCCAGGCATGCTACCTTCTCTCTCAATAATGGTTTTATGATGCAAGGTCAAAGCACTAGTTTCAACATCTTTTGTACACAATCCATCTTTGGCACATTTTTTCTACTGTCTGAATCCTCAACAGGCATTCAAAAAACTTGTATTGTCTGTACATTATTTTAATTACTTTTATACATTTCTGTATAGGATAGGAAAAAAAATGGAAAATGTAGAGTATGCAGAATAGTTTTAATAAACAGTTTTACATACAGTACCTTACATATAGAACAGTGTGTTTGCAAATTTAAATAATTTTTGAATGTACAGTGGCTTGTACTCTTATCAAAAGGTAAATTCAAGTTTACTGTCTATCGGTTCTAAAATGCATTTATACAGAAAACTAGAACTGATAAACAGTTGTGAGGCATAAAGTGTTCAAGTATCTTATGTCATCAATTAAATAGCCTCTTTTTAACAGTCATATTTTACAAATTCCAAAACCTGTACATACATTATTTTCAATTTTATAAACTGCTTGTTAAAAGGTAACATTTCATGTTAACCATGAGTTCTTATAGTCTATAGTAATAAAACTAGACATGTGTAGATATAAATATGTATATAGTATGTACATATGAATGTGTGTGTATATATACACATATACCTACACATACGTATGTAGCACTGGGTGCAGTGACAATTTATATAAGCACAGGCCAAGAGAAGGGCCTGAACTCAAAATCCAGCAAGAACTAACAGAGCAACTAGGTTGCCTTTGGTTTCATGATGTTTTATTCACTTATGACTGAAGCTAAAAGTTTTTATAAAAACATCCTAAGTAATGCATCTTTGTGATATTCAATTTAGTGGTTTAGTAATTCACAGCCACAAACAATTTTGCTGCTCTTGCCATTCCTCATCCCAGCTGAGGTTGGTAAAGATTCAGAGGGCTAACACCAAGCTGAGCTACCCAGGACAAAAAAAGTACTTTGAATCCTGAATACTGAAATAGAACGTAAAAAAATATAAACTAGATACAATTTTGGATGGATTGCTGGCACCAGGTAGAACTTCGAAAAAAAAAACCCTCATGTATTTCACTATCTTCACACTCTCATCCCAGTGGTTTTAGTATTATTTGGCACATTTGACCACTGTTTGCCACTTACAATGTGAAAAGAGCCTAAGGGTTCTGTAATGAGGATTTTTATTTAAAAAATATTTAGACACACACCACCACATCCTGTTTCTTTCAAAAGTGAAGCTAGCATTTTCATTTTCCTGAACAACACTAATTAGACCAAAAAAAAAAAAAAGTTCTCGGGCTGGGAAAGATTAGTTACCTTCCTAAACTTTGGGGGTGGACCAACTGTAGAGAGGATATGGATCTCTCCTTGTCTCCCTAACAAAGGGAGAAGAAATAATTATGAATGAGTATTTTTCCCCATTTAATTTGTTTTTTGCCCACTAACATTTGTCAGTTTGGTTCTATCTGCTACTAACTATAAAATTATACCACTTTCCATCGAAGAGATTTCTTGAACATTCTTGTATGACCCAAAGGAGAAATTCTGCCACTTCACATGCCTTATTTATCATATGTTAGATCATATAAATGTTCCTCAGTATGTGACATTGTAATCTGTATTTTGGACACAGAGTATTTCGATTTTCAATGTCAGTTTAGTTTCCTTATGCTAGATTTCCTTTCTCTTCTCCAAAGCTTCAGGCTAAAAACATAATCAGTACAGAACCAAATGTTCAGCTTTTTTGCTGTCTTCCTGCCAGTTTTGTGGCTAATTAAAAAATTCACTGTAGAGAGCCTATTTTCATTCCTTTATTCTTCCTTTTGTCATACAGAGCAGAGCGTGGCTATTTGCTGTACTTTCCCCATGTCAATTAAGAGCTGTTTGATACGTCGCTTGAGTTGAGGCAGTCTTGCAAGGGGATCTGGTGGTTCCAGCTCTCCAGTGAAGTCAAGCCAGCTTTCTAAAACTACATTGAGAAAAATATAAAAGAATGGTTTGATTAGAAAGGGATCTTTGGAAAAGTGCACAACCCTCCAAAGGTAGGTGTGTTGAAATGCAGTGAGGGCCATATCCAAGTGCTATTGAAGTCAGTGACAAAATACTTGAGGACATCAACTTGACTAGGATTTGGTCCTAACTTGTCAACCCAAATTTAAATGGCATTGTGCCCTATCCAAACCCATGCATCCCAGGTGCGTGACTGTGAACAACACACTTCAGAACATTTCATGGCCAAACTCAATGCCCAAATGAAAAGCAGCTTATCAAAAAAATTCAGACTATCTACACTATTTATTGCTAGATATTCTGTATTTTGATTTTCAGGCCCACACTAGTGTTCCCACTACACTGCGCAGCAGCACAGCTTCACAGGTGATTATTCAGCACCGCCCAGTCAGAGACTCAGGACGCTGTGCATGGAGCTGACTGCCTGGGCAGGGCTGATTAATCACGTGTGAACTTGTGCTGTCACAAAACTTAGAGGGAACACTGGCCGACACCCAAATGCTTCCAAACCTACTTCTTCCATATTCTATTGGACATGGACTAGCACCTAGCCTTGTAAATGCTATCAACTAAGACACGGATTTTCAAAAAGGGAATCCAAACTTTGCCCAAAGGGGGTAGCATTAGCAACTTGCCAAGCCTGAGGGCAATAGTAATCTGCATGAAATGGAGCATGCCTCTGCTATATGCATCTTTAATATAAAGGTACAACAAAGAGATACTCAGAAGGGTATATTTAAATGAAGATCTATTATTCTGAATAGGCATATCAATCAGTGCTCGATGGGCATTTTTATTCTTCTAAGCATGTTAAAATGGTCTCACTTATTCATCTTTCCAATTGCCTTGACTAAATTCTAGTAATAAAAGGTACATTAGGACAAATTACTCCCATAGACAACAACATATTGATGATAAACATAAAAAGAAGAGACTCCAGCTCACTGTCTCATTTGTCATGGTTCTGGAGTAGCAAAAACTCAGTAGGCATAAAATGCTATGAATACTTTTGTCGCTAATTTTAATGCATCACTAAAAAAAACCAGGGAGCAGGTGATATAAGGTGGTTTCATTTTTACCCAGCCACTTACAAAGTGGAATCACACTAACTTCAGAGTGACGGCAAAAGTCAACTCCCATTTTTCTAGAAACATTATCAATGTGAACGCAGTCTGATTGTAAACAGTCCATCAGAGCTAACACTATTTTGTGTTAATAAAAATAATTAAGGACTAAAATAACTACACTTTGTCCAAACTCTCTTCATCCAAACTCTCTTCATTTGTGAAGTGAATCTCTTAATTGAACGGTTACACAATAACAGAATATAATTTATTTAAATGTTTTTGATGTTTTCCATATAGGCTCAGAGCACAAGGCTTCAGACCCCACTGCTGCCTTCGGAGCTCGGGAAGGGGCTTCTGACCCCTTGCTGCCAATGCCTCCCTCCCCACCCGGAGGGGAAGGTTACTCACCTTGTGCAGTAACTGAGGTTCTTTGAGATGGTTGTTCCGGTGGGTGCTCCACCTTAAGGTGCACCAGTGCCACTATACTACTGGTCAGAGACTTTTGAAAGCAGTGCCCCGCCCCCTGCGTTGGCTGTGCATGCACAACACTGGTGCGTGATGCTTGAAATGGCCATCCCATGCACATGACCAGCCGCCTCCTCAGTTCCTTCTCTGACCTGGATATAGTTGAGTCCAAAGCCAAGGAGAGGAGAGTGGGTGGTGGAGCACCTCTGGGGACAACCATCTCAAAGAACTCCAGTTACTGCACAAGATGAGTAACTTTTCCTTTTTCTTCAAGGGAAAGACCCCGTGGGTGCTCCACCTTAAGATGACTACAAAGGAGTATTCATGCTTGGTGGTGGGCGCTTTGATAGTGTTGACTCGGTAACTGTGAATATAGTCTGGCTGAAACACATGTCTGTGTCTGCAAACGACTGGATGGCATAGTGCTGCGTGAATGTGTGGGCTGAGGCCCATGTGGCAGCTTTGCAAACGTCTTCTGTTGGTATGCCTCAGGAAGGCTGTTGTCGCTGCCACTGCTCTCGTGGAATGAGCACATATGGTTGCCAGGGGCTCCTTCTGGGATATATTGTAGGCTAAATGTATGCAACCCGAGATCCATTTAGATAGTCTTTATTTGAATATAGGAAACCCCTTTGCTCTCTGCAGATGACACAAAGAGTCGTGGAGATTTTCGAAAGGGCTCTGTACATTGTAAGTAAAAGGCTACTGTCCTGTGGATGTCTAGGGTGCGTAGTGCCCTTTCTCTGTTGTCCTTATGAGGTTTAGGAAAGAAGATGGGTAAGTATATGGGTTTATTGCAGTGAAAAGTGATAAGTACTTTTGGGAGAAATTTAGGCTGTCCTTATGAAATGTCGTGTATGGTGGGTCCACCACTAATGCTTCGAGCTCCCCAACTCTTCTTGCAGAGGTAATTGCAGCTAGAAAGGCGACTTTCATTGATAGGTATAGAAGGGAGCATGTAGCCAGTTGAATTGAGTTTAGTGATAATCCTAAGTTGTGTAGTTCCAGTAAGTGAGTGCTTTTGGAACTCCCATCTCTGATGGGACGCAGTTCTGTTTTGAGCACCATGAGAACATATGCCTTTTTTGTTTGTATGTTTTTCTGGTTGCAGGTCTGCAACAGTTCACAAGAATGTATCGTATTTCCTGAGGGTACTTCATTTCTGCAGATGTTGGCCAATTAGCATCCACACATGAAGATGGAGTTTGTGGACGTCAGTGTGGTGTATCTGCCCATCTTGCTGTGAAAGCAGAGATCGGACTGGTGGGAGGCAATACTTTGGACATACACTTATCTGTACCAGGTAAGGGTACCAGGTCTGCCTGGGCCAGTTTGGGGCTTCAAGTATAACGCTGGCTCTGTCCTGCTTGATTTTCAAGATGATGACTGGATCAGTGGAAAAGTGTATAGACAGGTGCTTCCCATTTTATGCTGACTGCATCCCCCAAAGATTGGGGCTCCACACCCACTCTGGAGCAGTAATATGGGCACCTCTTCTTTTAGGGGTGGCAAAGAGGTCCACTATGGGAAAACCCAACTTCTGAAATAGATGGTTCGGTTTGGTGGGGTTGATCTCCCACTCGTGTTTCTGTGCAAAATTTCTGCTGAAGCAATCCGCAAAGACGTTGCCCTTGCCTGGGAGGTAGGTTGCAATAAGTGTTACATTCCTCAGGATGCATCATTCCCACCATTGCACCGCTTCGTAACACAGAATCATAGAACACTAGAACTGGAAGGGACCTTGAGAGGTTATTGAGTCCAGTCCCCTGCCCTCACGTCAAGACCCAGTACTGTCTAGACCATCCCTAACCTGCTCTTAAATATCTCCAGAGATGGAGATTCCACAACATCCCTATACAACTTATTTCAGTATTTCACTACCTGACAGGAAGTTTTTCCTAATGTCCAACCTAACTTCCCTTGCTGCAATTTAACCCTATTACTTCTTGTCCTATCCTCAGAGGCCAAGGAGAACAATTTTTCTTCCTCCTCCTTGTGACACCCATTTAGATACCTAAAAACCTCTATCATGACCCCCCTCAGACTTCTCCTTTCCAAACTAAACAAGCCCAATTCTTTCAGTCGTCCTTCACAGATTATGTTCTCTAGACCTTTAATCATTCTAGTTGCTCCTCTCTGGACCTTCTCCAATTTTTCCACATCTTTCTTGAAATGTGGTGTCCAGAACTGGAAACAATACTCCAATTGAGGCCTAATCAGTGCAGAGTGGAGTGGAAGAATGACTTCTCATGTCTTGCTCACAACACTCCTGTTAATGCATCCTAGAATCATGTTTGCTTTTTTTGCAACAGTGTCACATTGACGACTCATTTAGCATGTAGTCCACTATGAACTCTAGATCCCTTTCTGCCGTACTCCTTCCTAGACAGTCGCTTCCTATTCTGTATGTGTGAGACTGTTCCTTCCTAAGTGGAATAGTTTGCATTTGTCCTTATTAAATTTACATAACTGTAAGATCATGCTCTCCCTTGTCAGTTGATGTAGTACATGGTTGTGACATTGTCCATCACTATCTGAACCGTTTTGTTTTGGATCACTGGTAGAAAATGGATGCATGTGTTGTACTTGAACTCAGGGCAATATACATTTGTGTGTTTGTTGGCCTCCTCCTCGTCCCAAAGGGCCTGAATGACCTGCTTGCCCAAATGGGCTCTCCAACCCATCAGAGAGGCATCTGTTGTGATTGTTAATGTTGCAGGTGGTTGCTGAAACAGGACCCCTTTGCAAGCATTTTGATGCAGTGTCCACCACGTGTGTGTGTGGACTTTATTTTGCTCAGCATGGAAAGGTTGCTGTTTATGTGGTGCACGTGTGGCCTGTATACTGTCCTTAACCAGGCCTGGAGTGGTCTCATGTGTAATCATGGTGTTGCCACGTGTCCCAGTAGTTGTAGGCACCTCCATGCTGTTGTCAATGGGCTGGTCTCTGCTAGGAGTATCAGGTCATTGATGGTTGCGAACCTGTGCGCTGGGAGTAATGCTACTGCTTTTTTTGCAATCCAAGTGTGCTCCTATGAGTTCTATGTTCTGAGTGGGGGGTGAGTATGCACGTTTCCAGATAAGTCTGTAGGCCCAGACTATCGAACAGTTTTCTGGTGGTTGCTACAGCCTGCTCTGTGTCGCGCGCCGTGGGGCCTTTTAGCAAGCAATAGTCTAGGTATGGGAATATGGTGATGCTGCCATTCCTTAGGCGGGCCACCACTACCACCAGTACCTTCAAGACAACCCTTGGGGCTGATGAGAGCCCGAAAGGCAACACTTTGTACTGAAAATGTAGGTCTCCTATCATGAAGCAAAGGAACCTTCTGTGGGCCGGATGTATCGAGATATGAAAATATGCATCCTGAAGGTCGAAGGTACACAGCCAAACTCCCTTTTCCAAGGCAGGAATGATGGTGGCTAGAGTTACCATCTTGAACCATTGATAGCGAACAAACCAACTGAGTCTTCGGAGATCCAGTATCGGTCTCCAACCCCGTTTACTTGGTGGTGAGAAAATAGTGGGACTAGAACCCCTTTCCCTTGTGTGGTGGTGGAACATCTTCTATGGCCCCTAATTATAAGAGGTGTTGTGTCTCTTATGCAAGCACATGCTCGTGAGAGGAGTCCTTGAAAAGGGGCAGGGAGGAGGGTTGGAGGTGGGAGATGGTAATGAATAGTATGCAGTACCACTGATGATCTCCAGCACCCACTTGTTCGTAGTGATGGTTCGTCATACTTGATAAAGTGCAGCTAGTCTACTGCCAAATATTATACAGAGTTTGTATTGCTGTCTGACCCTTGACCGGACCTTCACAACACCCGATGGGATGTTGTGGGTTGTTACACAGCTGCCTCGTGGGAGGCTTCTCTGCGCCTGTTCTGCCTTGGTCAGCGTCTGTTGTCGCAGTGTCTTTAACTGAGGTTAAACTGAGTGGATTTATATCTGTGTAAAAAATCTTCCCTGCTTTCTTTTAGTCGCAGGTGCATAGATACCTAGAGTTTTTAGTGTGGCTCATGAGCCTTTCAGCGTATGTAGCGAGGCGTTGGTAGATTCAGCAAACAAATAGTTTCGTACCTTTGAATGGTAGAACTTCAACTATGGACTGGACTTCCCTTGGGAAGCCAGAGAGTTGGAGCCAGAAGCTGCGTCATGACGATTGTTGACACCAGGCATCTTGGAGGCTGCGTCTGCTGAATCTAGAGCAACATGTAGGGCTGTTCAGGAGATTAATGCTCCTTCATTGAAGTTTGCTTTGAATTGCTCTCTTTTATTGTCTGGAAGATCTTCAAAGTAAAATTTGCAAGTTGATCAAATATGTGATGTGTATGCTTTGCAAGGAGGGCTACATAATTCGCAATTCAGAGCTGAAGGCTGGCTGATGGGTAAGCCTTCCGACCCATTAGATCCAGGCGTTTCACAGAATCATAGAAATCAAAGAGCTGGAAGAGACCTCAGGAGGTCATCAAGTCCAGCCCCCTGTCCAAAGCAGGACCAATCCCAATTAAATCAACCCAGCCAGGGTTTTGTCAAGCCGAGACAAACACCTCTAGGGAAGGAGATTCCACCACCTCCCTAGGTAACCCATTCCAGTGTTGCACCACCCTCCTAGTGAAATAGTTTTTCCTAAATATCCAACCTGGACCTTTCCCACCACAACTTGAGACCATTGCTCCTTGTTCTGCCATCCGTCACTACTGTGAACAGCCTTTCTCCATCCTCTTTGGAACCTCCCTTCAGGAAGTTAAAGGTTGGTATCAAATTCCCCGCTCACTCTTCTCTTCTGCAAACTAAACAAACCCAAATCCCCCAGTCTCTCTTCAGAAGTCGTGCACTCCAGCCCCCTAATCATTTTGGTCGCCCTCTGCTGGACCCTCTCAAATGCATCCTTTCTATAGTGTGGGGCCCAGAACTGGACACAATACTCCAGATGTGGTCTCACAAGAGCCGAATAAAGGGGAATAATCACATCTCTGGATCTGCTGGCAATGCTCCTCGTAATGCACCCCAATATGCCATTAGCCTTCTTGGCTACAAGGACACACTGTTGACTCATATCCAGCTTCTCATCCACTGTAATTCCCAGGTCCTTTTCTGGCAAACTGCTACTTAGCCATTCAGTCCCCAGCCTGTAACAATGCTTGGGATTCTTCCGTCCCAAGTGCAAGACTCTGTACTTGTCCTTGTTGAACCTCATCAGATTTCTTTTGGCCCAATCCTCTAATCTGTCCAGGTCACACTCTGGACCCTATCCCTGCTCTCCAGCTTATCTACCTCTCTCCCTAGCTTACAGTCATCGGCAAACTTGCTGAGGGTGCCACGTAATACTTGCAGTCACATCTTCTGCAAGTTGGTGGGATTGTGGCAGGTTTCTGCCATATGGTTTTTGTAGGATTCATGGGAATTTTGAGTTTGGCCTGCTGCAAAGCATGTAGAATACTCATCAGCTTATGTGGGTCTCGGGCACAGATATTTCTAATGTGTCTGCCACACGTTTAAAAAGTTCCTGAAATGACTCTGTCATCAGGTGACGAGGAAGAAAGGTGTATAGGTGGGGGTGAGTTTGATATTCACTCTGTCCCTGTGATGTCAAATTCCTCTTTGTCCTCTGAAAAACAGCACTGATCGGGAGTACTGGGGACCTGAGGCTTGGGTGCCTGTGGCAGCTGCTAGGGTTGCTGCCCTCTATATACCACCCACGGGTCCCAATATGGTCAGTTGTCTGGCACGAGTGGCAGGAACCATTGTGGTTGTTGTCAATGCTGCACTTGCTGCATTGATTTGAGCGACAAAATTCTGTGAGTAAGTATCTGCATAGGTTCATCGTTGCCAACATCACTCCTTATGGACGGTACCAAGGCAGATGTTGTGGAGAAACCGTATCTTGTATCTGAGATGCCATCGGTCCCAAAGAGTGGCGTCCCTGGCACTGACACCATCATTAGTTCAGCTGTGGTGGTAAACTGAGGCAGCGTAGGTGTGTGGGGGGGGGGGGGGGGGGAAAGAGGAATATGGGTACCGGCAGGATCTGGATCATCAGTACCGGCACTGTAGGTTGAGCTGGTGCCAGCTGCTAGTAAAGTGCTTTCATGTGCTTCTCGGTGCCAGTGCCAGATGAGCTTGCTTAGCAGAGCTTGGTGCCAGCTCTGATTCCAATCTTGCTGCTTTATGCACTTTCACCCCTGCCAGGATAGAGCTTTCCAGTTTCAGCTCTGAGCTCAACAGGTGAGAGGAAGGTTGGACCTTCTCTTTGGGGTCTTGGCTTTTGTGGGTGCCAGTCCAGTTCCCCATGTGTTTCTCCAGCGCTTTAGCACCATCAGGTGTGGAGACGGATTTTCCATTTGTTCTGTGCTTCCTGGGCAGAGAGTCAGATCCCGACAAACACTGGGACCTCTTTTTGGGCATTTTAGCCCTGTCCTGGTTCCTGGGGCCTAGGCAAGGAGCCTCTTCATTAGAAACCTCCCCATGGGACATAAGTCTGGGGAGGTGAGGTCTTGTCTGGGTCCAAGGACATCCTTGGTGAGTTCTACAGCTGTAGCATTTTAAGATGGGGCTCTCTAGCGTTCCTTGAGCGGCTGATCTATTTCAGGCAATGTGGGTACTGTTCTGAGTGGTGGTCCTGACCTAAGCAAGGGACACACTCAGAGTGTCTGTCTAAAACTGAAACTGACAATTTGCAGGATACACACTTTTTAAATCCGGAGGAGCCAGGCATGTCCCCGGAAGTGTTAAAGTTTAAACCATCTCAGAGAATTGAGACTGGCAGCCTTTACACATGGTGTAGACTGTGGCTTGTGAGTGAGCAAAGAAACTCTCCACTTTTTTGTACTTTTTTTTTTTTTTGAAAGAAATAATTTCTAACTGACTAATAGTAAAACTAACACCAAATATCTAATTCTACTCTAAACTACTCAAGTCTGTAATGAGGGCAACTGCTCTGCTGCGACCGAAGCTTACGGTGGTCAAAAAGGAACTGAGAAGGCGATTGGCTATGCGCATGGGATGGCTGTTTCAACCGTTGCATGCCAGAGTTCCGCGTGCACAGCCGACCAGGGGGAGGGGTTGCCATCAAAAGTATCTGACCAATAGTACCGTGGCGCTGGCACATTTTAAAAGTGGAACACCCACAGGGACACTCCTTGAAGTAGTATGTGATTAATATGTTAAAAAATTAACACATTAATTTAATTTCAAATTAATTGCAGGTATTAACTGCAATTAATTGACAGCCCTAGTGAAAACTGAATGCATTCATCTCCTACAACACTTAGCTCTACCACATAATCTTTGTTTGAATTTGTTATAAAGGCTGGTCTGCCATCTTAATCCAAGCTATTGCCAATTAGATTTTAAACCAATACACAGAAAACTACAGCTGAAGATGAAAACTTCTTTTCTCCTCCTCAGGTATCTGATTGATACATCTGCCCAAAACAAATACTATCAACTTTATTTCAGGATATGCTGTGGATTAGTGGAGGATTAGTAGGCAAAGCATGGGACCAGGAGCCTGCTAATTAATGGTCTCACTGTGTGGCCTTGGGCAAGCCATGCTGTCAGAATTACTGTTAACATTGCATGTGTAGGCTTGACTTCAGATGCTCTGAATACTCATCACCTCAGTGGGATGTTGCAGATGCACAATAACTCAAAAAAAAAAAAAAAAAAAAAAATCAGACTCGGTATCCCAGAGCATCCAAAATAAATTTGGGCCTTGATCATTCGTTTAGTCATATATATGACATGTAATGGGAGACTTATTGATTTAATGCTTCGAATGTTCAAAGCTCTACACAGATTGATATGAAGTATTGATATTATTGTAACTACCATCAACTTCCTTTTCAATAAGGTCCATTCTGCTGATGACTTCATTCTGTACATTCTCTATGTGGGTAAGAAGATTTAGCTGCCATTGAAGATGTGAATCCGCTTGTTCTTCGGATCCTTTTTTTTCATTGCAAGCACATATTACATTCCCCTCAGCAGGGTTCTTCTCCATAGGAATAACAAAAAGAAATAAAGTTAGCACTTGATAAATGCTTTATTTTCAACTTACGACTTGGATTCTAGTTTTGATTTCAATACTTAGCACAATGCCTTGAATGAGCAACTTTTTAATTGCATTATTATTTCACAGAAATATAAATATACATAACATTATGCAGTTTAAGAATATTAGTAGAGAGTAAGTGCAATATACATGTCAAACAAATTAGTTTATCTGGCTTCAGGATTACCACAGAGACAAAAAATTCTCTATGTTAATCCTGAAAGAACAGGAGGAAATGTTAAATTCACCAGTTCTTGTACTTAGTTTATTGCAGTACGAGTGGCCCATGTCTCACTACTCTGGTACATAAACTTCTAACTCTTAAACCATGAAGTGCTGAATGCACCAGTGAGCCATTATCCAATACAAGCAAAATTCCAAAATGTATTTGTTTGCAGTCCAAAACAGATCATGTGAAAGTATAAACACAGAATTGTATCTAAAATGCCAAAGTCCACTTATTTAATTTCAAAGTTCAGAGCATACTGACAGATTTAAGACAAAAGTACATTCCTTCTTCATACTGTTGTCATTTGGTGTAATTTTCTACCAAGGAGTATAAAAAGGAGCCACTAATTGTGCGACCAGTAACGACTAGTTATGAGAACCATTCCTGTAAAGTTTCAGGTAATAGCTATTTCCAAAGACAGGATGATACCTGATTTAACAGTTCAATGGGTTGAACTAGTCCCAGCATAGTCTGGCCTGCAATAAGCTCTCCACAGTACTGGCTGCTCTCTTAGCCAGCCAGCCAGTCACCTAGTCCACACACCCTGTGCTCCCAAGAGAAACGGACTGCTGCTCTGTCCTGTAATTTCTATTATGGTCTTCCTAGACCCTGATTGGCTGCTTTCCCCCCTGAAGTCACTCTAGTCTGCTTAGAGGACCTGTCTACTGGCTTTTCTGGGACAGGGTATAGGGCCACTAGGCCTCCAGCAGGGGGTCTCAGGGGCCCTGACAGGTGGCAGCAGGGGAACGGGAGGGTGGAGGAGAGGCAGCTCCACAGAGCCAATGCTCCTGGGAAGCCGGCTGTAGGAGGTGCAAAGGGAGAGGGAGGGGGAGCAGGTGGCTTTGCGGAGCCAGCTGCCCATGTGTGCCGGGGAGGGGGGGCGGTAACAGCTCTGCAGGATCCAGTGCTCGTGGTGGGTCAGTTTAAAAGCCAGCTCCTTACAAGCACTGGCTCCCACCTCCTTGCCATTGCTGCCTCTGATACAGAGATAGCAGGGGGGAGGGGAATGCATGCAGTCGATAGGATTAACCGATAAGCCTGAGGCTTATCGGTTAATCATGTAGTTGACTACACGTGACATCCCTAGTGCGCAGTATTGATCTATATCTGCATAGCAATAGCATGCACATCAGTTGATAATTCAGAAACAGGAATGTATTCATAGCTATTTTATAAGTTTATTGATTTTTATTTTCTTAAGAAATAAACTAATTTTAAACTCTACAATGAATTAAATGATTTTTACCTGCTCACTCTTGCCATCTTCTTTTAAAGAATATTGTAAACAGTTTTTATCATCTGAATGAAATTCCTGATCTTCCTCAAAACTACTCATATCTTCATCATCTGAGCTCACAGGGTCAGTAACAGATTTGCAGTCCTGTCCAAAACTCTGTGGTTTCTGGTAACTGTGCTCACTTATAATATATGTTTCTTCCATCTTCTGGGGTAAGCTAGGGGGTGGTTCCTTATGGCTTTGACTGTGATATGTCCTTGCAGATGGATTAACAGCATCTGGCAAATTTACTTTTTTCTTCTCTACCCCAAGTGTCACTTGTTCTTGCTCTTTTCGCACCCCTGAGCAAGCCCAAAGATGAAGATCAGGATGATGTGTATTTCTGGAAGGAAGAGGAGAAGAAACGTTAGTACAGAACAATCACTTTCAACAATGAAACCTTTTAAAATTCTAATTTTGGCTTAACTGTATTTACATTAATAAACTATTTTTAAGGTAACCTCATTACCAAATGTTTCATTCAGCGATACTGTGGAGCTCTTAATTTTGCATAAATCCAGTGTGCCCCAGTCACCTTTCATAAGTGTGTTATGATAAAACAAAAATGTTTAATACGCCCCTACAGTTGAATGCTGTCAGGTGCTCAACACTAGCAACTGCCATTGAAATTGAGGATTTCCATCACATGGTATAATTGGACCAGTTAACTGTTCAGTGGAAACAATTAGAAAATTATACAAAAGAGAATATTAAACATTCAGGCCTCTGAAAAAAATTACTTTCTCCCAAATTAGCCAGTCACATAACAGATTGTTCAGAGACAAACCACAGCCTACTGGCTAACGTACAGCAACGGAAATCTGGGCACTGCTCTGCACTTACTAATTGTTGGATCTTTGGCAACTGATAACCAATCTGTGGAATTAGTTTTTCCCCTTCTGTAAAATTGGGACAGCAATTCCCAACTTCACACCAATACTTCACAGAATTAATTTAATACTGTTTATTCAGCACTTTAAGACGATTAGATATATGGGAATAAACTGCAAGTGGCAGACTTAGAAGCACAAAAGACTTTGCTTCACTTTCACATTGGATTTCACAGATATTACCTCATGCAAGCTTTAGATAAAAAATAGTCTTTAACCTCTTTGCACACTTTTCCTTTGTCTCAGTATTCATCAACAACAGTAATAATAGTATCCCTAATTCACATTCCAGTGTTCACTGGAGAAAATACCTACATTCCCACTTATTAACAATTTTTTTTCTGAAGCTTCGTCAAGAAATGCAGACCCTGGATTCCTCCTCACTGATGTGAGAGGAAGCAGAGAAACCCTGCGTCTGCCTTGTCATAGACCGAGCTCCAGAAAGCATAATTAAAACCAAACAATTCACATTATGTCATGACATTTGTAAGAATATACTTCTAAATGTATAGGTGGCATACATCTGGTCTTTAATATTAATATAAGTTAAAATGAAAATCATCTTGACACACACACTAAACTCTCACCTTTTCTAAGGGTATACAGATGGGGAGGAAACACCTGAGCCACACTTACTTTAGTATCCCAATCTTCAGCTGCAGTCCATGTAATATTTCAGTTACACCATATACATCAGCCAGCAGGTGGTGTGTTGACACTATCTTTTTGGCATTAAGGTGAGAGTAGTTTTCTTTTAAAAATGATAATCCACACATATGCCCCTTGTTTAACCAGTCCTTATCGTATAGATATTTGGCACTCCATCTCTGACCTATGGGTAATCAACAATCAGAATTTATCCTCCAGAAGTGACTGCAAGTCAGGCATGCTATCCTTAAAACATCCCCTGACATCCTAAAAGAGAGGTTTATGACCTTTCTTCAACCATGGGTTTTCAAAGAAATTCACATCACCTAGGGTGTGTCTAGACTACATGCCTCCTACGACGAAGGCATGTAGATTAGCCAGATCGGGGCAGCCCTTTAAATTTAAATGAAGCCGCGATTATTTTAATCGCGGCTTCATTTAAATTTAAAGGGCTGCCCCGATCTGCCGACCAACAGCTGATCGGCAGATCGGGGGAGTCTGGACGCGATGCCCCGACAAAGAAGCCTTTCTTCATCGACACAGGGAAGCCTCGTGAAACCAGGCTTACCTGTGTCGATGAAGAAAGGCTTCTTTGTCGGGGCATCGCGTCCAGACTCCCCCGATCTGCCGATCAGCTGTTGGTCGGCAGATCGGGGCAGCCATTTAAATTTAAATGGCTGCCCCGATCTGGCTAATCTACATGCCTCCGTCGAAGGAGGCATGTAGTCTAGACACACCCCTAGTGAGTGACACAGGATATCATATGACATCTATGAATGACATTGTAAAGGAAAATTAACTTAGTATTCAAGCATCAGGAAGCAGAAAACATTCTATACCATCGTACACCTGTGAATTGAATTTGAAATTAAAGTTGTGATTTATAATGGTCTCTTCTAAAAATAGCTGCTTACTGAAAAGATAATTTAAGATACCAAGAACTTAATATTCACAAGGGGAGGGGGACAGTTAAATGATTATCCAGACTATTCACAGTAATAATAATTAACAAAAAGAAATTTAAAAGCTATTAAACCTCATGCTTCAGAGTGAGACAATCTAACCTTTAGAACAGAATTTACAGCATGATTCTGACCTTTGCTCTGAAGCAGCTCATCCTGACCCCTGTCAGAGATAGAATACTAGACTAGATGACTCTTAGGTCTGATCCAGTCTGGCAATTTCTGTTTCTATACTGCAAGAATGAGTGAACCCTAAGTAACTTTACTAATCTTGGTTTTATATCAATTTAATAACCATAACAATAACTATATTCCCAATTATTCCCAAAACTGTATAGTACTTTCACTATGGAACTGTTAAAAATGGTTACTAACCTTCTTGCTACTGTAGTTATTTTAAGTGTATTGCACATGTCCATTATGCTGTAGGTATGTGCAAAGATACGTACATAGGTATGTGCCGGAGTGTTTTTTCTAGTAGTACCTGTAGGGGAAGTCCTAGGATCCTTCAGTTCCTTTGCACTGAGATGCCAATTATAGACTCCTATGCTTAGCATGCGAGGATGGGCCATATAATGGACATATGCAACACATCTCAAAGAACAGTTTTTAGTATCTGCTTTCTCTTCTTTGAATTTCGATTACGCTGTTGTTGACTCCTAAGCCATTGTCATTGATTTAAAAGCCAGAAGGAACCAATGCAACCACCTAGGTTCACCTCCTATGTAAACATGGGCCATAGAACTTTTCCAAAATCATTCCAAGACCAGATCTTTTAAAACAACACCCAATCTTGATTTTAAAATGGTCATCGTTGGAGAATACACTCCATCTCTAGGCAAATTATTCCAATGGTCAATTATCTGCACTGTTAAAAATGGATACATTATTTCTAGTCTGAATTTGTCTGGCTTCAACTTGCAGCCATTGCATCATGTAACACATTTCAGGTGCAGTGTGACTTGGGAGTGTAATTGAAAAGGGGACTGCAAGACTGCCTTCCCACTTTCATGTCTTGCCTTGATGCTGCAGTAATTGTACAATGTCTAGAAAAGATGCAGCGAGAGGACCACATCACTGCTCTGCAGATGTCCACAGTAGAGACATTTCTCACAAACGCTGCAGAGCCCAAGTGAAGGAGGTCTAGTTGAGTGAAATGACGGATTCTCAGGAGGCACAATACTTTGAGCTGCACAGCACTTGCCATTGATGGTGGTAAACCATTCATTTATTTATTATAAAGCCAGCCTTCTCCCCCTTCTTTTCCTGTTATAAAATTCTGGGTTTCTGTTATTTCTCTCCAGCTCATCTGATGAAGTAGGTTTTGCCCACAAAAGCTCACGGTTCTCTATATATTTGTGAGTCTCTACAGTTCCACAGGACAACTCATCGTTTTTAAAGTTCCAGACTAACATGGCTACCCCCGAGACTTTTTAATCCATTTAGAGAGCTGGTGCTCTGTAACAGGGTGACTGCTCATTTGTTCAACATAGGATATAAATCTGGGGAAGAACTCTGAAAGGGCTTTCTTCTGTTCAGTTAAAAGGTTAGAGCTCAGTATACATCTAAAGCATGTAGCTTTTTATTTGTCCTTGTGAGCGTACTGTTTTGGGGGAAACCTTGCAAATGTATAGGCTGAGTTTGGTATCTGATTTCTACCTCTACCTCCTTGAATAGAAACGTTGGGTGTGCCCTAATCTGTACCTTGTCATTGCAGAAAATAGCATATGGAGGCTCTATCACAGGACATGCAGTTTCCCCACACTTCTAGCAGAGGTGATGGTTGTGATAGGCAGTAAAAACAATCCTTCCAGTAATCTGAGGCTGAAATATTGAGATTGTATAGCTAGATGAACCTTAACGGTGCTTACTGTTAAACTCGATTCTTTGAGATGTAAAGGATAGTCCATAAGGCAGAAACAAGAGTTCTTGGGTCCACGGTGCGGATCAAGGCTTCCCTGGCCATGTTGGAGCTATGAGGATCCTTGTGCCTTGATCTTGCTTCAGCTTGACAATAGCTCTAGTAATGAATGGGTTGTACTGATCGTCTTTGTCTCACAAGAATGACAGTGTTCAAGGCTGATCTGGAGCACTGACCCACTCTTGATCAGAATAGAGGGCACTTTCTGTTATGCCAAGTTGCTAAGAAAATCAGCTGAAAACCCCTTGTATAAAACAGTGAACCCTAAAATAGCTGTGTTGGGAGAGTTTATGATATATGCTGATAGATATACTGGGACGGTGTACTGAGAGCACCTGGATGGTCCTTCCCTGAACGTGCAGTAGGAAATGATGATGCAAAGAATACTGTATGCAACCAGAGAACATATATGTGCAAACTGACCTCATGGGTAGCCCATGAACCTGAGCCAGCAGATTGCTCAAATAAGCTCCCTGATCCCATGGCTGCAGTGCTTGTTGCCAGAGTCATAGAGGCAAGATGTATAGAGAAAGTTTCTCTCCCCCCACCCCCCAAGTTGTTTTGGCTTATCCATCAATTCAGAGATGACAAAACCATGTCTGGAACAGTGAACCTGAGGGTGGTAAATTTGTTTGAGTCATTCTGCATTCCCCTGAGGTGCAGCCTTGATAAAGTATTTCACACAGACACACAGGGGCTTAGGGCAACTCCTCCCTGTAGTTTATGGCTGATCTTTGAACTATGTAGAGAGGCCCCACATAGCCTAGAACCTGGGATGAGATAAGAAAGCCCTGGCAGAGGCTGAATCCATGCAGTGAAAACCCTTGATGCCAATGGCAAACCAAAGGGCAGAACAATCAATTGGCAACTATTTCCTTCTGTGAATTTTAGAAGCCTCCTGTGACTAAGATAGATTGCCATTTGGAGAGACATCCTGTAAATTGTGGGTGACATCAGTCTCCCTGATCAAGACTAGAGATAATAAAAGCAAAGGAAACCATACAGATGTTTAATTTTTTTGATACATATCTTTCTGTTTCAAAGGTCTGGAATCGGTCTAAGACCCCACCCTGTCTTTCGGTATTAGGAAATATCAGGAATAAAAACTTTGGGGAAGAGGTAAACAAGTAAAAATAGCACAGAATTTTCCATGAACCAATGATTTAATGCATACCTGGAGGATCCCTGCAGATGTAACAGATGTACTGCTCTGGAATGCTGTCCTCTAATAATCCCATACATACACTATGTTGCCAACACAAGCATTCTTCGCACTGCCACCCAAAAGAAACAAGGTAATTCATTATTTGTAAATCAGTTCTATTTCCAGCTTCTTAAAAACACCAGGAAGGACAGCTTTCCTTTAGCAGCTAACTTGAATTATAGGTCATATTTGTGCAATTTCTATTTGCTGTAGCAAAATCAAGTCAATATTAAGCATAATTTTAGCTTTGAAAATGATTCCATGGTCACAAATTCCTACCTGGAAAACAAAAATCAAGGAGTTAGCAACTAACAATAGTTTATTGTAACGTTTAGTAATTTAGTTCTAATTATTTAGCGCTGAGCATTAAGACACCAGTATAGGAATATAGGAAAATAGAAATATATAGCAATATATTATAGTCTAGCAATAGAGGAAATGTCAGTTTTCATTTACAAAGTACCTCTCCATTGCTTAAGATTTTTAATATTACACGGATTTAAAAAAAGAAATCTAAAAAAATAGAAATGAAGAAAGTGTATACATTAAGATGGCAGGAAGAGAGTAATACTTTGGTTACAAGGACACAGAAGCATAAGAATGACTGGCCAGCTGACCTGTATAAAGTCTAGGTGGGTAAAATATTAAATTGCCAGTTGAATTCAGAAAAGGGCAACAAAACATGAATACTGCTCTACGTCTAAAGCGGTTAATGCAGTATTTGAAGATAGAGTGTCTACTGGATGGCTCAGGGAATTGGTAACAGATGGACTACAGAGACTTTCAACTCTAGGATGCTGGTTCAAATTCAGTTCAGATCAGTCATGACTGCAAATAGCCAATATCCTCCTTACCCTTATCATGTAATTAAGCACTGATCAAATTCAGCTGTTCTGCATTCACAGTATCTCTAAAATCCCTCCTTTCCTTGCCCATGTTCTAAACATCTATTGCCTTGACTATTGCAGCTGTCTCAGCTCTGGTTTCTGACACACATTTTGACCCATTGGTCTATCTAAAAATGCCACAAAGACTACTCTTTCTTTTTCCCCTATAACTACATCGACCTGCCTCCCCTCCAAGATCTTCCATAGCTCTTCATCATTTTTTATATTGAGTTCAATCTTCTTGTTATTTTGTTTAAGGCCCTACATCACTCAGCACCCATCTATTATCCAACCTGGTTTCTTGTGTTCCCTGCCACATATCCCCTCCATTCCAACAAAGCCAGCCTAGATACCTCCTCCTTGTCCTTCTCACTCAGTCCATATGTCCTTTTCAATACTGCCCCCCATATTCTTCAAATGCTTTCCCAGATTCTAGTCACCAAGCCACTAGCCTTACAAGAATGGTCATCCTGAGTGAGACCATTGGCCATCTAGCCTAGTACCCGGTCTTCAGAGACCGGCTGGAAATCAACACCACAATTAGAAGTGATCCACCACTGTTGTCCACTTTCAGTTTGTGGCAGTCGGGGGTCAAGAGGCACCCAGAGCATGGGACTGCTTCTCTGATCTAGGCTAATAGCCATTGACAGACCTATCCTCCATGAATGTATCTAATTCTTTTTTTTTAGTCCAGTTATATTTTTGGTCTTCGCCACATCCCCTGGCGAGAAGTTCTACAAGCTGACTGTGCAGTGAGTTAAGAAATACATCCTTCTGTTTGTTTTAAATCTGCTAAATATTAATTTCATTGGGCAACCCCCTGCTTCTTGTGCTATAACAGGCGGAAAATAACACTTTATTTACTTTTCCACACCATTCATTTGTAAATGCCTAACAAATTCCTCCTTAATCATCTCTTTTCCAAGTGTAACTGTCCCAGTCTTTTTACCATCTTTTCATATGGAAACTGTTCCATACCTCTAATCGTGTTTATTGCTTTGTTCTGAATTTTTTCCAATTCTAATATATCACTGCAACTGACACTACTGTTGGCATATTCCAAGGTGCCGAGGACTGAAAGGAAAAACTGTACCAACCTCACAGGTAGGCTACGTCTACACTACAGAGACTGATCAAAGCTGCTGCCGTCATTCTTCCAGGGTTCAAATTAGGGAGTCTAGTTAAGACAGCTAATTCAAACTAAGAGGGGCACTCTGGTCAATGCTGGTGGTCCTGCTTCCACAAGGAGTAAGGGAAGTCGAAGGGAAAATGTTCTCCCTTCAACTTCCTGCAGTGTGGACAATGCCAAAAGTCAAGTTAAGGTACTTCTACTTCAGCTACGCAAGTAACATAGCTGAAGTTGCATAGCTTAATTTGACCTTGTCCTGTAGTGTAGGCGTACCCTTCGAAAGATGGTCCTGCACAGAACAAACAGAGGCATAGTGTGGAATGTAGAAAGCTTTGACTACCGACTTTTTCTTACCAGGATGCCAGAGAGAAACCATTCACAAGGAAGACTGACAAGCAAGTGAGTGTCTTACCTGAATCATGAAGCCATTTTCCTCATCCATTTCACAGATGCATCTAACAATTTCATTGAGAGCATCGTCTTCATCCTGAGATTCTTCAAAATTTGTTGAATCAAAGTCCTGATTATATTCATCACCACTCAGTAATAAGCTCTCTGTGGAGGAATCATCTAAGAACTCCACATCCGAGAGGTCTAGTAAAAAACAAATAAATCTGAAGTTGTATATGCAAACAGATGTAACGTTTTACAAGAAGGTAGGACCTTAGATGCTGAATGATCCTGCACTACACATAGCAGAAGTCACTCACAGATGTACTGCTGGAAGATTACACTTCTTGGTGACCTCCACTGTATATACAGCAATGCAATGTAGCCACCTTAGAGGTAGGAGTGGCAACATCCAACCAGTGCTCAGCACAATGCAGAACAGCATGAGGAGGATAAATATTTTGTTCAATCTGTCATGAAAGTATATACATGTTGGTTTAACAACATACAAGCATAAAAAGATTCATATTTTTATGCCTAAAATTAATTATTTAGCTTGTATTTGGCCTTTTTTTATTCACTTTCTATGGGAAATACCTTACTATACTTTAAAAAAGGTTTTTCCTGCAGGACGAAAGAGTGACATCATGCATCACTCTGTGCCCCACATGGCCTCCCATTCCCTGTGCATTCCCAGACCCCGAGCATCCTCCGGCAGCTGCCATGTGAATGGGTGGCTGCTGGAATTTATATTGAACCGCGCAGTTTCTCTGCTGTCCAAGGCAGGAGAAGAGAAGTGAGTGGAGAAGGGGGGGGGAATGCGAGTGGTAGGGGCTTAGGTGCAGTGGCAGGGGCCACACAACTTTGCAGGGGCTTGGGTGGGGGTAGGGAGGCGTGCAGGACATGTGCGGCGTCACCGGTGATGCAACAGGAGGGGGATGCACGGGAGCTGCATGGCCTTACCCCGGCCAGTGGGGGGCCAGAGCCATGTGGCCTCCCTGCTTGCAGCCAGAGGAGCAGGGCTGGGTGCCGCTCCCTCTTCCCCCTCCCTCTCCCCACCAGA